GCATGGTGGGGCTGGAGAGATAGCTCAGAGGTGCTCTTCCAGAGGTCCTGAGTTCAATTCCCAGCAACCACATGGTGGCTCACAACCATCCCTTATGAGATCTGGTGCCCTCTTTTGGTGTGCAGATATACATGGAAACAGAATGTTGTATACATAATAAATAAATAAATCTTTAAAAAAAAAACAGTGGGCATAGTAACACATGCTTATAATCTCAGCACTGGGAAGCTGGGACAGGAGGATCTCTGGGGCTCACTGGATGAGTTCCAGGCCATTGAGAGAGACTGTCTCAAGAAAACAAGAGGACAAGCTGGTTATTATAGTGATGCACACCTTTTGGTTATTATAGTGATGCACACCTTTAATCCCAGCATATGGGAGGCAGAGGCAGGCAAATCTTTGAGTTCAAGGCCAGACTGGTCGACAGAGTGAATTATATCCAGGGCTACACAGTGAAACCCTGTCTCAAAAACAAAATAAACAAGTGGACAGTGCCTGAGGAATAATAGCTGAGGTTGACCTCTGGCCTCCATATGTATACGCGCACACACACACACACACAACCACACCTACACCCACACAAACATGTATTCATGGGCACGTGCTGTGCATGCACACAAGATTGTAAAAACACAAGAAAAATGCGAATCACTCTATGTCTCACATCTCACAGTGGAGGGGCACCATCCTATGCACTAATCGAGTGTATCTGGTTCACACACAACGTACCACATGAAAGTTGCCACAAAAGGATCTAGAGAGAAAGCTCAGTGGGTAGAACGCCAGCCACATAACTCTACTAAAGCTAGGTCCTGCCATGTGTCTGTAGTCCCAAATCTGTGGGTAGGGTGATAGCAGATCCCAACGGTTTCCTGGATAGCCAGGCTACAGGAAACAATGAGCTCCAGGTTCAGTGAGAGAGCCTGAACCAGGTGCCTTTAATCCTAGCACTCTGGAGGCAGAGGCAGGAGGATCTCTGTAACTTCAAGGTCAGCCCAGTCTACAGAGTGAGTTCCCAGACAGCTGCCTAGTGAAACATTGTCTCAAAAATAAAATAAAATAAAAATAAAGGACTGAAGAGATGGCTAGTGATTACGAACTTCTTGCAGAGGACCAGGGTTTGCTTCCCAGTCCTTAACAGGGTTTGCTCTCCACATCACCCACATGGTAGTTCACAACTCTGGTTGCAGGGAATCCAACACTCTCTTCTGACCTCTGAGGATGCAAGTAAAATACTCATGTACATTAAAAAAAATCCTTAAAAAATAAATTAGGTAGAGAGCTGGTAAAATGGTTCAAGTGGATAAAAGCGCTGCCATCATTCCTGACGACCTAAATTTGAACCCCAGACCCGTACAATAGCAGGAGAGAACCTATTCCTGTAAATCGTCCTCTGGCTTCCACAAATGAGTGTGACATGTGCACATCCCACCCCCAATAATAAATGAAAGAAATGTAAAAAAATAATATGGTGGCAAGCAATAATAGACCAAATGCACGAGCACAGGGGTATGCACTTGGCGCACACACACAGCACCATCAGAGACATTCCCCAGACTCCAGCCACTGCTATGGATTTTGAGGTGCCCAGAGAAAGTTCTTGTTGGGAAAGCCCTCATGGTTTGTCCTTGGGAAGGATGGGTGCGCAGGGAGGCCCGAGGACGGTGGGAGAGCAGGGAGGCCTGATTTTATTTTTCTGATCTCAGAGTGTTGACAGCCCCAGAGACTGGTATCGGAAAATGTTTCAGCAAATTCACCGGAAAATGCCAGGTTAGACAACCTCCCAAGGCCCAATAGACTCCCAATGATATGGAATTGTGGGAGGGATGGAAAGGGGGATTTCTTTGCTCATGAGATTCTTCTGTCTCCAAGCTCTAAGGTAAGTGATCCTGAAAATACCCACTCCCCAAAAAGGAAGTTGTTGCCTGTAACCCCAGTGCTCAAGGAGGCAGAGGCAGGGGAGCACAGATTTGTGGCCATCCTAGGCTACAAAGTGAGACTCTATCTCAAAAAATCTAAAAAAGAAAGGTGGGGGAGGAAGGAAGAAGAGAAAGAGAGAGCGCGGTCCCCAGAGCATCCTTGGGTGGACAGTGACTAGCTCAAGTTTCCCGATGTCCTCCAGGGCCTTCCTGAAATCCCTTCACACAAAACACTGGTATCTTCTGAAAGCCTGAGCTGCAAATGAGCTCTCTACAGGCAATTTGTACATTAAGTCAGACCTTGCCTGTTTCTCGGGCCCTAGGGAGCACTGTTCTAGGAAGATGCACGATAAGCAGATGACAGAAAGGGCTAGAATAAATCCAAAGAAGGCTGGGGAGCAGCCAGAGCAGCGAGGCTGAGACCTTACCCAGGACAGGCAGGGAAGAGGCCCTTGAACTAAGCCCAGACGGGGAGAGGAGTGTGCCAGCAGAGGAAGCTTCAAAGAGGGAAAAGCACATCTGGCTCATCCCTGGACTCTAGAGAGAGGGGATTCGTGTAGGACATGCCGTCGGAGGGATAGGGTCAGGTCTTGCAAGGCTTTGGGTATCCCCAAGAGGACTATGGCTTTTACCAGACAAGAAACCTGGAACCCCTGGGCAGTTTTGAGCATCGGAGTGACCGAGTTCAGACAATGGGGGCTGGGAGGATCTCCATTCCAGTGCACACTGCCAGACACAGAAGAGATGGTGGGAGCAAGGGGACCAGTTCCCCTGATTGTCATGACTGGGAGGGAAAAGGCAATGATGGGAACTGCTTTGGTCCAGTCTTTACCTAGCAGTGACCAGACCAGGGCAGTGAGCAGTGGGGTGGGGAATCCAGGGAATTCCAGGTAGAGTCTTGGAATTTGCTGATGGTGGGACAGGGCATGAAAGAACAGCCTCAAGAGTGATTTAAACCTGAGCATGCTGAAGGATGAAGCTGCTGTTTGGCTTCCTTTTTATTTTTCAGACGGTCTTGAGTATTCAAGGCTGGCCTTGGGCTTGCCATGTAGCTGAGGCTAGCCTAAAGCTCTTAGTCTTCCTGCCTCAGGGGGTCACAGGAGTGTGCCTGCCTTTGTTGTAATTTTTTTTTTTTTAATAAGAGGGAAGAGAGGGAAGACAGTAGAGGGAGCAGGCTTAACAGACATTTGGAGCTTGGTGTAGTGGCACATGGCTTTAGTCCCAGCACTCAGGAGACAGAGGCAGGAGGACCTCGGTGAGTTCAAAGGCAGCCTGGTCTACACAGTGAGTTCTAGGACAGCCAGAGCTACACAATGAGTCCTTGTCTTAGAAAACAAAACAAAAAATAGAGGTTTTTGGTTTTCAAGGCATGTCACACTCAAGTGGAGTAGGCAGCTTAATGTCTGAGGCTAGTTCAAGGGCAAGGTCTGAGCCGCACATGGAAATACCTAGGACTCTCAAAAGAGATGCTGAGTTCCAGTCCTTGAGGCAATTCTAATGTATAGCCTTGGCTTAGCTATAAACTAGAACTATGGGAATAGACAGCACCATTCTTATTCTTGCCTTCCAGATATTGAGCCCCTGTGTATAAAGTCCATATTCAAAACTATGGATATAGGACTCTATGGTGGCTCACTCAGGGAAGCTGAGGCAGGAAGATTGTCATGAGTTCTAGGCCAACCTAGGCTATGGTGTGAGGAAAAACTATCTCAAGGAAAAACTAAAAATGGGTTTCAAGGTGACTCAGTGGGTAAAGGCTTCTACGCCTGACAATCTTCAGACCCCGCATAGTGGAAGGAGAGAACAGACCCTGACCTCTGACCCTCATACACACATGCTGCAGCATGCATGTGCCCCCCAGACAAGTTTCTAAGAAGAAAAAAAAAAGAACAAACAAACAAGAAACCTGAAGGGACTGGAGAGATCAGCAGTTAAGTGGCTGCTTTTCAAAAGACCCAGGTCCAATTCCTAGAACCTACATGGTAGCTCACAACTCTGTGACTCCAGTTCCAGGTGATCTGGTACCCTCTCTGACCTCCATGGGGAATCAGACACACATGTGGCTCACAGACATACGTACAAATAAAATATAAAATAAATTAATAAAACAATAAAATATAGGTATAAGTATTCATATTTGTATCTACCTGCATATAGCCTCTAGATTACTTATATTTAATACAAAGTAAATGCTGCATCAGTAGCTATACATACACTATACTGTGTTGTTTGGGAGATAATGACAAGAAATAAGTCCATGTGCAGCATAGATATGATGATGTTTTCAAAGTGGGCCTGGTTGAATTCATGGATGTGGAGACAAGGCTGAATGTATTTGAAAAGCCTTAAGACTAGCTGAGATCACATAGGGAGATGGAGAGACTGTCCTTAGGACTGAGCCGCCTAAGGCATGTGTGTTCCGAGAGGCCTCAGTGGTGAGAGGAAAGCAGCCTAGAGCCTGGAGGTGCTCCCAGAGACAAAGAAGGAGAGGCGATAGTCTCCCTGCAGCCAGATGAGAGAAAGGAGTTTCAGAAGGAAGAGCAGTGGCAAATGCTGCCATTGAGTCGAGTTAGATGACTCTGGAGCTGACCAAAGGCTGGTCAGAGTGGTTGAGGCAGCCGTGGTGAGCAGCAGGCCTGTTGGGAAAGAGGAGTGGGGACTGGAGATGGTTGCTGTGAGGAAAAGCAGATACCCCAGTAGCAGAGGGAGGTGAAATCAGGCTCCCAAGAAAGGTATTTGGGTTTTAGAACGTCTTAGCCTCCCTCACCCCAACCCCTGAAAGTCCTGAACACTGGGAGGTGTGGTTCTGGGCAAACTGAGAAGGTATTTTAGAAGGAGGTGCAGGTGGGGAAGGGAAATAGAGAGGAAACACAGCTTCCACAAGCTGGCATGGCCAGGGCAAGCCTACAGAGGTCAGGAGAGGGTGTGTGTGGGAATAAACCAGGAGGAGCTAGAGGGTGTGGTTGCCGCCCATTTGGCTCTCCCAGGCCCAAAGTCTGCCAGAGGCAGGCATTTCAAGCCCTCCCAAAGCTGCCCTCCTAATTCCTTCCCTCCCTCGGGACATTCTTCAGGCCCTGACTCAGCCCTCAGCCCCTGCTCCAGGCAGAAGGGAGGCTGGGAGCAGCTAGGGCAGGCTCCTGGAGCGCCCTGTCCTCATTCTGTCCCATTGGTGACCCAGACCTTTCTGTTCTCCAGACGTGCAGCTGGACTGGACCTCGGAAGACCCACCTAAAGGTGAGAAATACGGGTTCACTGGTCTGTGCCTGGTGACTTGTGGCCTGGGCTTAGAGGCTTCTCAGGTGGTGTGGTTCCACACAAGGAGATTTTAAGGGCCACTTCCGGGAACACTAAATCCCCTGGTAGGAGGTGACTAAGACTTCCTTCACTGCCCAGAAAGCCCTTGTTTTGCCATATGCTGACCAGACTCCACTGGACCTCTCTATTCCTATCTGTGGAACTGGGATACCACCTGCCCCAAACTGTTATTAAGAGTTTGTATTGTAAAGCTCTTGGTACAAAGTCCAAGTACTAGCCAGGAAGCCATCTCTACGCCTGTGAGCCAGTAATCCAGGTGTTAGGATGGAGGTGGGTACCCACAGCCTTAAATAATTGCCCAACCCTAGTCCTAATCTGTCTTCTTTCACCTCCAGTGGTTTCCTCACGTGCCTCTCCTGCAGACCCCAGGCATCCAGGGCCCCAGCAAAAACCTGCCTCCAGGTCTGGCACAACAGTGACGCCTAGCGGGTGAGCTGTGGGCAAGCAATGTAGAGACTAGTGCCCCCTCGTGGCCAAAGCTGGCACAACCTGGGAGCAGGCAGGAAAGGGTCTCTACTGGGGTTCAGAGGGTCTCCACCACTGCAGATATTCCAACTTACAAGGGTCAAAGATAGCCAGGAATAGAGCCATTCCTGTTGTGCATCAGGGACCAGATCCTCGTAGAACCAGAGACCATGAGTTATGTGTCATGTGTGTGTCCAGGACACTAGGGATGGAAGCTGTTAAGGGCAGCTTGAACATGTGACCTTCCACTTTAAAACCTGAGAGAAGACCAATAACATGGATGAACCCAGGTTTCCACTAGACTGTGGCTGAGAGGTGCCCTCCAGAGAGGGACAGGAAGAAACTCCTTCCCCTGGGCTGAGTGCTCAGGTGCTGCAGGAACTCTGCTCTGTGGTTAAGTCCACTAGGTGTGTGTGCCTTTCCAGGGCAGAATTCAGTTCACTAGGATAGCCATCACTGACCTTTGGCCTTTGACAACAGGGAAGTAGTGAAAAGAGGTCAGCCCCCTGCCACTAGCCGTTCAACCTTGAGCCCCACGTCTCCATCTTGTAAGTGGGGGTAGTGAGGGAGGTCGTGAGGACCCGAGTGAACCAGTGTGTGCATCTTGCATTGTGGTTGGCATATAGCAAGTCTGCAAACATTCTAACACACAGGTTCCCGTATGATGGGAGCTCCCTTCTATTGCAAACAGCAAGTTCCATTCTCATGATCACCTTTTTATTATCGAAATGAGAACAGAGTCATAATTATGACTCTGATGAATCCTCACCCTGTGGTCAGACATGCCATCATTTGATAGGCTCTATTCAGTTGCCCCATGGGTAACTTTCAGACTAAAACCAGAGGCTGGGACATGAAAGCCAGCCGGGAAAGAAACCCTAGAGGAGAGTCCAGGCAGCAGGACATTTCAGTGACTGAGGTAGCCACATGGGTTTTTATCACTGAATTCACGTCCTATATAACCTGAGGCCCAGAGACCCAAAACAACTTGCCCAGGTCTCCTGGACAGAGATGCCCACAGGTTTTCCTTGGAACTGTGTGTAGTCTTACATCCTGGGCTATGGTTTGTAGGCAGACTTTTCTATCCTGCCAGCCAGTTCCCAAATAACCACACAGAGACTCATTATTAATTATAAATGCTCAGCCAATAGCTCAGGCTTGTTACTAACTAGCTCTTACATTTTAAATTAACCCGTGTTTCTAATCTATGCTCTGCCACATAGTAGTACCTTTTTCAACACAGCAAGTTCATCTTCTCCCCACATCTTCTCTGGACTCCTGAGACTTCTCTCTTCCTTCTCCTCTGCTTCCTCCTCCTCCTTCCCAGCATTCTCTTGCCCCTAAAAGTCCTGCCTAGCCATGGCCAATCAGCTTTTTATTAACAATGAGAGCAATACCTCTTCACAGTGTATAGGATTACTAAACAGCACGGTTTATCTGACTACTTGGCTATGGCAGTCTGAAAGCCAGCTGCACTAGTACACAATATAGGATACTTTTGCCCAAGGCTACAAGAGAGATCCTGGACACCCATAGAGCAATGTTTATATAGGTCCTTAGCTTGACACCTAGCACACATTCCTGTAAGTCACTCCCATTTTACTGGTGTTGAGCCCAAGGCTCCATGCAGCTTGCCATAGCTCCTAGGTCACACAGATCCTAGGTGATGAGGCTGGTTTTAACCCTGGAACTCACACAGTCTGCTCTACAACACTAATTCCACAGTAAGGGGGCAGGTAGACTCCTCCTGTGGGAATGGGGACAGTGGGAGAGGAGAGGGGTACAGCCCTTCTTTGTTTACCTTCTCACCTATGACTCAGTTTTCTAAGAGGAAGCTGAAGTGGTATTTTCTCTTTCTTCAGAAGAAACTGGGGCCACTCAGAAGAGACATCTAGAGACACCTTTAACTATAATTTCGGACCATCCTCTTCAGGGCTCCAACACCCAAATCAGGTAGACATTCCTGCTGGCCAACACCATCCTCTGCTGCTTGTTCTCCAGCCATACCCATCCATGGACATAGCGCAGATAGTTCCCTGATTTCGGCTTGCATATTTAGGAAGGGACCCACGGGCATATCAAGGGAAGACTGTAGCCCCAACCCTGGTATCCCTCCACTCAAGCTGACAGCCACTCATGTCCACGCAGGTACCCAGACGTCGAGAGAAAGTAGAGAATGTCTGGACAGAGGACTCCTGGAACCAGTTTCTGCAAGAACTAGAAACGGGGCATAAGGTGAGGGATAGGATTAGCAAGGTCCTCTAGACCTGGACACACCCCTCAGCTGGAGCCTGTTCCAAGTGAGGTCATCCTCCTTGATGTATCCTTCCCACCCTGCAGCCCAAGAAACCACTGGTGGATGACCCTGTTGAGACACCTGCACAGCCCATTGAGGTGAGTACTGCTAGATGGAATGAGGGAAAGGCACCAGGGTCAGCAGTAAACAAGGATGACTCTAGGGGTTGTGGTCTTAGCCATGGACAAAAGCCTTGGACCCAAGGCTCTAACTTGCTCTAGTCCCATACATTTTCATCTCTATTCCTGCACCAAGGGCACTGCCTGCATGCAGTAGGTGATTAATAAACACACACAAAATCATTCATATACATATATATACATACGTTATGTATGTATGTATGTATGTATGTATTCATATGTATGTATGTATACACCAGAGCGAGAAGAGACTAATCTGTGTGGACTGGAGTTATCAAAGGTACTCATGAAATGGAGCTGACTTTGGCCAGGCAGAGAGATAGCCCTTCTAGGAAGAAGTGTAAGAAGAGACTGGGGTGGGGGGAGTGTGTACCTAAGTATACAAGTGTGTGTGTGTGTGTGTGTGTGTGTGTGTGTGTGTGTGTGTGTGTGTGTGTGTGTGTGTGTGTGTGTGTGTGTGTGTGTGTGTGTGTGTGTGTGTGTGTGTGTGTGTGTGAAGGCTCAACTCACTGGAATGAGTGGTGTGATGATGGGTGGGTGAAGCCAGGCCATGGAAGGCCATAGAAACTAACAGAAAGGAATTTGGCAGGCCCTCAGGTTCTTAAACAAAACATACTCCCCCCATCCCAACACCACTACCACCACCCGGTTCCCTCAAAATTAAAAAGGCCAGGAAATACTGGAGTCTTGGGTTGGGGACTGGTGACAGGGATGACGTGACATCTTCCCACTCCCCTTGAAGAATGCCTACAGGCATTGAAACCTCTCCTGGTCCCCTCTCCCCGAGGTTTGCCTGGGCCAGCCTCTCACTTCTGACCTCCGACCAGCCTCCAATACAGTGCACTTCCCAAGAGAATCTTATTCCCCAGGTCCTGCTAGAGAGAGAATTGGCCAAGCTGAGCGCAGAGCTGGACAAGGACCTGCGGGCCATTGAGACCCGTGTGCCATCCTCCAAGGTACCAGCCTCCAGAGGGCCTCAAGAGGAAAGGCTTTAGCCATAGCAGCAGGGCATAGAGGAAAGGAGGCAGAACTAGAAACTGGCGGCCTTGGGCGGACTTCAGCCTTGCCCGATCTTCAAAACACTGGGCTTCGACTTTCTAAGTGACCCCTAAGAACTCTTCCCGGCCAACTCCGATTCAGTCCATACCCGACCCCGCATGGCCACACCCCTAGTCGCAGCCTCAGGGGACCCCCCCCCCAGACCCGACCCGGCCCTGGATTCCAGGGCCAGCCTCCTTCCTCCTTGCCTCCTCCCTGCGCGAAGGCTCGCGGGCGCCTCTAGGACCCCGCGTCCCGCCCCTCCCTGGCCTCCTTCCCTCCAGAGCCGAGAACTTTTCCGGAGGAGGTGGCAGCACTGGCCTCAGCTGCCCTGGCCCCAGGGTCCCAAGTTCTGATCATGTCCGGTGTCTCCCGTGCAGAACTCGCAGGCACCACGACGGTCCCCTGAGCAGCCAGCCCCAGAGCAGCGGCCCACAGCCCGGTGAGTGGCAGAGATGCAGGCGGGAGCTGAGGGTCTGTTCCCTGCGGAGGGGACGTGGCGCGAGCCGGCGAGGGGGCGATGGCCCTGCCCACGATGGGGGACGGGCGAACCTCAGAGGAAGGGCCTGAAGATCGGAAAAGTGGCCTAGGGGTGTCCCAACCGCAGCTCTGTAAGGGCTTGTTCATTCCCTGAGGGCCACCTGCCCCAAGCCCAGGACACTGGGGGTGGGGGAGTGGGGGGGCTGGCGGCGGCGTTGGGAGGATTGGGACCCGAGCCCCGACACTTCCCGTGTTCCCTAGGGCGGCCTTCTCCTTTCCTAACCCAAGGCCTCACCCTTCCCGGCCCTCTGCTGCACGGGAAGTAGGACATCCTGTTGAGAGTCCCTGACCAGGGAAGACGCCTTGGGAGGCAGGGGACAGACAGGATGGGGGTAGCGGAGGGCCTGGGAGGTCAGTAAGGTATGAGGACTAGCCCTGAGGGATGTGAAGTTCCAGACAGGTGACTCACTGTCTCTGTTCCCGCAGCACTGCCTCGGCCTGGAGGCCCAGCTCCCCGCATGCACCTTACTTCGGTTCTTCCGGATCCCTGAGTCCCCACAGAATGGCAGATGGAGGAGGAAGCCCCTTCCTGGGACGTAGAGATTTTGTCTACCCTTCCTCAGCCCGAGGTAAGGCAAAGTCTGTTTTTGTTGGCACTGAATAGCCTTCTACCTGCTCAGGAAGTTCTTTTACAATTATGTGGTGCCCCAAGAAACGGAGGGTGGGGGCCAGGAAGGTCACAGAGTCCTTGCTTCCCTGTGCCTGACCTGGGGTGGGGGGAGCATAACCCATCCCAACCCGATGCCCCCAGACATGACCTCCTCAAGCTGAGGTGGTGCTTCTCCACAGAGCCTAGTGCCCCTGAAAGGGGAAGCAGCCCTGCAAGGAAGGAGGAGAAGAAGGTAAGAGAGTCCCCAGGGTCCGGGGTCAGGGAGTGTCTGGGCAGGAGCCTGTCTGGCTGAGGTAACCCGCTCTGTCTGGTCCTCTCCCCTTTCCCAGAGGAAGGCTGCCCGGCTCAAGTTTGACTTCCAGGCCCAGTCCCCCAAGTAAGTGGCCTTCTCAGCCCTTCCGCTTACAGCCTGGGCAGTGTGCACTGTGAACCTGTAGGGAAGGGTGGGGCTTTAGTGAGCAGAAGGCTGGAGGGGGAGGTGGTGTGCAGGGCAGGGTCTGAAGAAGAACGGCTCAGGAACCCGGTGAGGTACACGCTGCTCTCACCTGCAGGGAGCTGACTCTGCAGAAGGGTGACATTGTCTACATCCATAAAGAAGTGGACAAGAACTGGCTGGAGGGGGAACACCACGGCCGGCTGGGCATCTTCCCATCTAATTATGTGGAGGTGAGTGGGAAAGATGGAACAAGTAGGCTGGCAGGCTCCCTGGGTTGGGAGAGACTTAGATGACAGACCCCAGGTTTCTTGGCTGTCTCTCTTGAATGTCTTTGGCCTGCACATCACCTGGTTCAGGACTCAATCTATCTTCCAGTCCAAGGGAAGGTGAAGAGCCCCTTGCCCAGAAGCCACCATCACATTAGTGCCCCGATTTTAACTATGAGAGCCCATCTTTCTATCCTGATCTCAGCTAGCCCGTATGTGTGAGTGACCGTTCACCGTAAATGTGTGGCTTCTTTCAGGTGTATTACCTGTTTGTGCCTCATGCTGCTTGGGGAGTGATAATTGCCTCACTTTATAGATGGAGATTCTGTGTTGAGTCATATTCTAAATGCAAGCTGAGACCTATAGGTTAGGTTATTTTTAGTATCTGTGTCTTAAGTTGTAGCAAACTAAGCCTCTGGCATAAAGTTGTCCATAATATTTCCTTATATTTTAAAAAATATTTATTCCTGCACTTGGGAGGCAGAGGCAGGTAGCTCTCTGTGAGTTCAAGGACAGCCTGGTCTACAAAGTCAGTTCCAGGACAGGTAGGACTGTTGTTATGCAGAGAAATCCAAAAACCAAACCAAAACACACATATAAAAAAGTATACTATGCCTGTATTGTGTGGATGTGATTTTATGTGAAGGCACAAACATGATATGGTGCACATCTGGAGGTCAGACAACAAACCTGGGGTGTCAGTTCTTGCCTTCTACCTTGAGGCAGGGTCTCCTGGTTGCACTGTTGCTTCATCTGGCTTTTACATGGGTTCTAGGGATCTAAACTCAGGCCATCAGGCTTCTGCTCTCATTGAACCATCTCCCTGGCCCCATTCTCTCTTTAAGGTTAGGAATGTCTGTAATGATTGTCTTCTCATTCCTGGTATTGGAATTGTGTATTCTTTTATTCTGGCTATAGATTTATTTCCTCAGACTTTTCCATTAGCTTACTTTTGACTCTCTTAGTTTTTCTCTATTATTTTTGTTTTCAATTTCATCTTTGTTCTTTCATTTTTTACCTTCCTTGTTTAGTTTGTCAGAGTGAAAGTTTAGCCTTTCTTCTTTTTTCTCTTTTCCTTTGACAAGAGTTGCATAGCAGCCCAGGCTGGCCTGCAACTCTCTAGGTAGCCCAGGCTTCCCTCAAATTGATGATGATCCTTCTGACTCATATTAGTGATTAATAATAATAGTATTTGATACTATAAATTTCCATCTAAGCACTGTTTTAGCTGTATCACAGATTGTAGCTTTTTTGGTTTGGTTTTGTTTGAGCCAGGACCTTATGTAGCCTTGGATGGTGGAACTCACTATGTAGACCAGGCTGGTCTTGAGCTCAAAGAGATCTGCCTGCCTCTGCCTCCCAAGTACTTGGGATCAAAGGTGTGTGCCATCATGCCTGACCAAATTGTGATTATTATTATTACTGTTATTATTATTATTTGTTGTTTAACGTACTGTTTTCTCATTTCCTTTGTGATTTCCCTTTGATAACTGGGTAGGCTGTTGTAATCGGGGCTCTGCTTTAACAGGCATTACAGATTGACCTACCCATACATTAATCTCTCTGTTTTCACTGAAGTTTTAGTCAGTATATACAGTCATCTAGTCCATCAGTCATCTACAGCTCAATGAAAAATGGTCTACTAGCTTATTGATTTTTATGAATAGAGTCAACCAAGAAAGCATGGGGATTCAGAGCTGGGGGTGGGGTGAGACTAAGACAGTTGAACCAAGGGCCACCTGGCACTCAGCAGTAGTAAGAGATGGAACAAACTGAGCCAAGTTTAGTGGCACATCCCTTTAAGCCCAGTACTTGAGAGACAAAAATAGGTAGAACTCTGTGAGTTTGAGGCTATCCTGGTCTATATAGTGAGCCCAAGAATAGCCAAAGCTATATAGTGAGACCCTGTCTTGAGAAAACAAAACAAATAATAATAATAGTAATAATAATAATAAATACATACATTTTCAGTTTCAGAACAAGTTACTCTGCTGCTTGGAACCCTTTGAGAGCCTAGGAGTTAGACTGATTTCCCTGGTAGGCAGGCAGACAGAGAGAAGGGTCATGACTAGGTAATAATTGTGGTGAATTTCCAAGATGGCTAGCTTCTTCTTCATGCTCCTGGCTTGAGACAAAAGCCTGGCAGCTTCAAACAAAGACCTTATAAGCCCTTGTGTCCTACCAGCAGATCCCTACTAATGGACTGACTCAACAAGTCCATGCCTGGTCAGGATGGGCCAGTCAGCCATCCTCTTTCTTACAACAGACCAACCCTAAACCAGGGGAGGAAGGGCGTTCAGAAGCTTTAAAAACCCAGCCCTCAGAAGAGACTTGATTTTTTGGCTTCCTGAGTTCCCCCTCTGCTTTGCAGAGGGTCTTCTCCTCTGTGTGTCTGTTGCATGTGCGTGTTTCCTCACCCCCAGTAAACACCTTTCTCCAACTGCTGAAGCTGACTGTGTGCTTGAGATCTCTCTGCTGCTGCCTGTTGCATTCAAGATTTTCCCTGCCTTTTAATTCTTTAATGGGCAGAGAAAACAAACCTGACCAAGACCTCTGGACTGTGTGTCTTAGTCACTGTTCCATTGTTGTGAAGAGACACCATAACCAAGGCAACTTTTATGAAAGAAAGAATTGGGGTCTTGCTTACAATTTTAGAGCCCTGGTTCATTATCATCATGGCAGGGAGCATGGTGGCGTATATGGTGCTGGAGCAGTAGCTGAGAACTACATCCTGAGCTACAGGAGAGAGAGAGAGAGAGAGAGAGAGAGAGAGAGAGAGAGAGAGAGAGAGAGAGAGAGAGAGAGAGAGAGAGAGAGAGAGAGAGAGAGAGAGAGAGAGAGAGAGAGAGAGAGAGAGAGAGAGAGAGAGAGAGAGAGAGAGAGAGAGACAGAGAGAGACAGAGAGACAGAGAGAGACAGAGAGACAGAGAGAGGAGGAAATATCACTGGCTTCGGCTTTTGAAACCTCAAAGCCCACCCTCAGTGCCACATTTTCTCCTCCAACAAGGCCACATCATCTAATCCTTCTAATCTTTTAAAATAGTGTCACTCCCTAGTGACTTAGTCTATATGAGGCTTTGGGGGCCGTTCTTATTCCAGCCACTGCAGTGTATCACTTTCATTTGCTTGTGTGGCCCAGCTTAAGGCTGTAGTTAGACTGGCTTCTGTCATAGCATCCGCCATCCTCTCTGCCTGTCTTACCACACATCACTGCACTGAAAAGTCTCCACTGGCAAAGCCTTCTCGGATGGCGCATCTCACAGAGCCTTTGCTCACACTGCCACCTCCGAGGCTGTCAGGGTCTGGATATGACATCTGACCGGGGGGCAGCCTTGTGCATGTTGGCCTCTGTGTTGCTCCCTCTTCCAGGAGCCCAGGTGTGTATCTGGTTAATCTATGCTCTCAACTTTTCTCACAACCTCCCTGCAGGTGCTGCCCGAAGATGAGATCCCCAAGCCCATCAAGCAGCCCACATACCAGGTGCTGGAGTACGGAGACGCTGTGGCCCAGTATACCTTCAAGGGAGACCTAGAGGTGGAACTGTCCTTCCGAAAGGTGAGGCTAGGCGGGGCGTGGTAGAGCGGGACACAGGAAAACAGAGGCCATCCTGCAGAATGAAGGGTTTCTCTGTGTAGCCCTGGCTGTCCTGGATTAGGCTGGTTTCAAACTCACAGAGATCCTCCCAAGTGCTAAGATTAAAAGTGTATACCACTACCGCCCGGCTAAAATGAAACGAACATTATTTTTTTTAATTGTTAACTATATCCAGAATTTTGGTTTTTCCAATCTCTTGAATAGGTTACTCTTGATTTTTTTTTTAAACCCCAGTACTAGTAACTGAACTGAGGGCCCTGTCTGTACAAGGCAAGTTCTCTATTCTATCCCTTGTTTTACTTTTTTTTTTTTTTTTTTCTGAGACAGTGTTTCTCTGTGTGGTCCTGGTTATCCTGGAACTCACTATATAGACCAGGATAGCTTCAACCTCACAGAGATCCGCCTGCCTCTGCCTCTCGTGCTGGGATTAAATGTATGTACCACCACTGCCTGGCCCTCATTTTACTTTTAATTTTGAGACAGGTATTGCTAAATTGCCCAGGTTGACCTTGAACTCACTCTATATCTCAGGCTAGTCTTGAACTCACTATTTAGCCTAGGCAGGCCTTGGACTTTTTTTCTATATGTATGAGTGGTTTGCCTGTGTGCGTGCGTGCGTGCGTGCGTGCGTGCGTGCGTGCGTGCGTGTGTGTGTGTGTGTGATGTGGGCCAGAAGCAAGCACCAGATCCCCTGAAACAAGAGTAACAGGTAGTTGTGAGCCCCTATGTGGGTGCTGGGAATGGAGTTCCAACCCCCTGCAAGAGCATCATATACTCTTAACCACTGAGGTTATCTCCAGCCCAAGGCCTTGAACTTTTGATATTCTTACCTCAGCCTCCTAAGTAGCTGGGCTTATGGGCCCATGCCATGGCTTAGCCAGTTTATTCCATTTTTGAAAGAACATTATGAACAGTGTCTCATTCTGTCATCCAGGCTGGCCTACCAGGATAGCCAGGAACTCACTGTAGTCCTCCTGCCTCAGCTGTCCAAATACTAGGATTACAGGTATGAGCCATCATGTCTGATCCTAGCACTGTGTTTTATTAACTGTAGGGCATGAGGATCTTAATCTACATTTTTAAAGGAATAGAAAGAAACTGTATTTAAAGCGTACTGTATCAAATATGAGGCCCTTATCTGTGCACATATATTTGTGTATGTGGCTTCTGGGATGTCACTAACATGTATGTTTTGTGTTAGGTTATGGTGAAGGAAGTGAAAAGTTTCTATGAGATGAGGAACTGGCCTTCTGGTTGGATTTGGGGGGCAAAGCCCACAGATGCCCCTAGTGAGTTCTTCCAAGAAAAGCTGATTCTAGAGATAGACAGGGAAGGAGGTGGGCTGGATGGTTGGGCAGGAGAGGACTGGAGGGGAAGGGGCATCCTCCTGAGAGCAGCCTGCTAAGGTGGTGGCAATTCTACTCCAACTTCCACCAGTATGTGGTCCTGAGAAAGCCTTCTGCCCTGGGAGAGGGTCACAGGACATGTGAGTCAGGGGCAGGACTGAGTTGTGGTAGCATGCTAAGATCTATCCAGTGCCACTTGTAAGGCCTCCCTTGATTCTGTGTCTCATAGAAACAACAACAGGTGCTTATCCCACTTAACACTTGAGGAAAGCAAGCTCAGAGGGCCAGAACAGTTTGCCCAAGGCCACATAGCTTAGACTTGGCTTTGGAGTTTGTATCTGTGTAATTAGCCAAGGTCCCTAATATGATTGGAGGTATGGATTGTTAGCATTATGAGCCCGCCAGGGGTAAAACCTGATCAAAGCCCAGGACTGCCTGCTATGAGAAAAGCTTAGTCTTCCTTTTTTTCTTTCTTTTTTTTTTTTTTTTTCCTGACTTCTCCAGTAACCTTGAATAACCTGTTGACCCTTTCAGAGCCTGGTCCCACAAGCATGTAAAGTGTTAGACCTGAATGAGATGACCCTGGTAAGCCACCCTCAGGTGTGTGATGCCCAAGGAGCCCCGGCTGACACAAATTCCTCTCTAATCCCTCAGGGGGAACACATCTGCCTGATCCGCAAGGTGAATGAACATTGGTATGAGGGTCGCATCACGGGCACAGGACGCCAAGGCATCTTCCCGGCCAGCTACGTACAGATAAACCGGGAGCCCCGGCTCCGGCTCTGTGATGATAGCCCCCAGCTCCCCCCATCACCTCATCTGACAACCACGGCTCGTCTACCCTGTCACTCCAGCTCCGCCACAGCACAAGTGGACTCCACTGACTGGGGAGGTCGGACCTCCCCTCGCCGCTCTGGCTTCCCGTTCCCCATCACCCTCCAGGAGCAGCCCAGACCCCAAACCCAGGTGAGGTGGCCTGCTTCTCATACCGCCTTCCTTATCCTCTCACGGCTCCACATTGGTAATCCTTCCTGGACAGCCTCCGGACAAAGAAGTGGGGGGCTGGGCAGAACCTAGCATGGCCAAATCTTGATTTGACCCTAATCCCCTTAAAGTTGCTTTAATCTTTGATTGTCCAGCTCAGAGAGGCATGGGCAGGACCTAGCTCTATGTGGAGTCCCAGACAACTGGGGTGACAGGGCTAGACTTCCTGAGCCTCCAAGATGCCATTTTTTACATGTATGTCTTTGGTAAGTAGTGCTAGGTACCAGGGTTCTGGTATTTGCTTGCAGTGTGGCCCACAAGCAAGTGGCTTTTACTCTCTGGGTTTGAGTCTCCCTGTGCAGAAAAGCTAACAGTTCCCACTGGATGAGATTAATTCTTAGGTCTGAGCAAAGGCGTTTGGCAGCCCTTCATTGTGCACTTGGCCCTAGGTCCACATGTTCACCCAGCATGCCTCTCTGAGCAGGTACAGCTGCTCCTGGCTTCTCCTTGGGCTTGTTTTGTCCTTGCTGGTGCTCACAAGTGCAGCCACTCACCCTGCCTGGCACCTGGGCCCACGGCCAAGTCTCACTGAAGCGAGCTAGTCAGAGCCCACCTGGGTCTGGAGGTTTGATGAAATGGCATGAAAACGGAGTCAGCCTCCGTGGGACTCCAGACTCCTCCTCCTCCCTTATACCCCCTCTTTATGGCTCTCCTTCCTTTCCACGAACCCCCAGAATCTCAGCACTCCTGGACCAGCCCTGTCCCATCCTCGAGGCGCCAGCCGTCCTATAGAAATGGGGGCCTCCTCCCCAAGCACCACAGATATACACTGGACTCCGTGAGTACTAGCTAAGGATTGCTTGCCCTATGTGAGAGTTGCTGACTGGAAGTACTGATCCCCAGGTTCTACCCCCCTTCACCTATGGGTTGGGGGAACTCCTAAGTAAAGCTTGTCTTTTGGTGCTTAGGTGATGGGGAGAGGTACCCAGAGTGACAGCTGTTGGTAGAACTGCCCAGGGGGTCTGGGAAGGAGCCTAAGGCCTCTGGCTGCTATGCTGCCATCTCCCACAGGTACCGAGCTATGTACCAGTACAGACCCCAGAATGAGGATGAGCTGGAACTTCGTGAAGGGGACCGTGTGGATGTCATGCAGCAGTGTGATGATGGCTGGTTTGTTGGTATGTAGCCTGTGGAGGGGAGGGCAGGCCAGAAAGAAGAATCTTAGGGTCTCCCTGGAGACTTGAGTAGCAGTACCAAATCAGTTAAGATTCATAGCCAACACTCCCACCTACCTTCTGTCCTGAAGAGATGCAAGGCCCAGGGAAAATTGCCTCATTTCATGCTCAGTGATAGAGTCACATTTGGGACAGGGTTCCAGTTCCTCCTCTCCATATACCAAGGCTTCCTCAAGCAGGTCTTGAATCTGGATTCTCCTACCCTGCCCCTACCTACTCCCACAACCTGGGAAACAATATAGTATCTCAGCCCTTCCCTACTGCCCCAAGACATTGCACTTCAAGGACTAAGACCCAAAGCCTCATGTTGATCTTGTCTGGTGCCGTAAGCCTTGTATACCCTTGGCTTGAAAGGACAGGCCAAGGAGAGAAGTGACAGGCCAAGGCTAGATGCCTTGCCTCCTAACAAGCAGACTTTGGGACCCAAAGGGTTGAAGCACTGCTTGGGCAGAGGTGTCATAGGCTATGACTCTTGATAATATAGTTTCCTCTTTCTACTATGATTCTTGGTGGCTCAATGCCAGCCATGCTTCTCACACCGCAGAGGTTAGTGGCCCTTCTCATTTCACTAGTGCACTTTGGCCTTTGAATTTCTTTTATACCATGAATGAAGTTTTGTAGACTTGCATAGGTAAGAAGAAAAAGAACCCTTTCTGTGGCATAAGCCATAATGATCTGGGGAGTGGCTTGGACTTTTGCTGTCTGGTATAGTATTCAATAGCCACATGTGGCCACTTACGTATAGATAAGTTAAAAAGAAAGAAAATGGAAAGCCCAGCCCCTTCGTACTAGCCCACTTCAAGTATATTCCCTCACTCACCCAGGACACATGCTTCTCTGGGGGTCTTAGCAAGCCAAGAAGCCTGGCTTACCTTGCCAGCTCTTCCCTTAGGCAGCTCAGTGCCCGTCTCTAGGTATTCTACTAGATCGGTGGGTTCCGCGCCCATAGAAGATCTGTGATTCTTCTCCCCAGTTCCTTATTTTCTCAATGAAGTTAGTGCTGTGTGCAAAGTTATCTCATTGGCTGGTTTACTGGTGCAGCTTTGCATATCTAAGCTTGTGCCGCTAGGGGGCAGGAATGAGAGGAAATCAACCCCCCACCACCACCACCACCCCGGCGCCCAAAACCTGATTCTACTTGCAGTTCCAGGTACTGTCAGCGGAGGGCGCGCCCTAACCCGCGTAACCTGTCTCCTTTTTCAGGTGTCTCCCGGAGAACTCAGAAATTTGGGACATTCCCTGGAAATTATGTAGCCCCGGTGTGAGTGGTCTCCCCGGCAATTTGGAGCCAGCGAGGATGGGGTGAGGAGCAGTAGCACTATAGGAGGGAGAGAGGCCCCCCCACATCCTCCTCCCCCCAGGACCTGTGCTCCCAGCATCTGCAGAGACCCCAGCAACCTTCCCTTTGAACCCCCTCAAAGTCCCCTGGACTGATTCCCACCCGCGAGTCACAGGCATTCCTTTGACAGCCCCCCCCTTACCACCCGCAAATACAGTCTGCTCTGATGTGGAGGCTGTCTCCAGGCCTTATTGAGACCAGATCCCCAGGTCCCCATCACCCACAGCGTTTCCCCTAATGAGGACTGGCTCTCGCTTCACCCCCATGGGGTTCCTCTAATAAGGACCGGCTTCCTACCCTAGTAGAGACCAAAGGCCTCCTCCCATTTCCCACCAGCCTGCCTGCCACCACTTTCCCTTGGGGCCTCCAGCTGGGCCTAGAAGCAAGGTGGGGAACACCTTGTCAGCCTTCAAGGCCCAGTGAGAGGCCTTGCCTCAAGGCTTCCTCTTCTCAGAGGCTACTGAGCCCCTGGGTAGGGCCTCCACATATACTCTGGACCCTCCCGACTAAGGCCCACAACTGCCCTTGACCTATCAAAAGACAGATCTACAGGGAGACATGCTTGCTGCCCTAATTTCCAGCTCTTCCCGGTATCTAGGTGCCCTCTGGAAGAGAATGTAAAATAAACATGGATACCAGGGACATGTCTGAATCATTTTCCTTTGGGTGGGTGTAGGGGGATGGGGAGGACTCTGCCCATTTAGGATTGTGGGATTTCTTTCTGTCATGGGTTGTGGCTCCAGGTAGGTGGGCCGCCTGTATGGAGGAGGGGAGTAAATCACCATTGTCCCAGCAGGGACGACAGGCAGAGTGGAACAGCTCCAAGGACCAAGTATCTGACCAAGGTGCAGAGAGCTAATGGCAGCGGGGACAGGGCAGGGCAGGGCCTTATGGGAGAGCCCAGAGCTGGGGACTGACATGTGTTAGTTACCAAGCCGTTGCTGAACTCGATGGCATTTCTAACTGTTCCCCACTAATGCTCCATTTCCACGCCAAACTCTCATGTGTTTCTTCTCTGGGCTCTCAAGTTTTTGAGCATTCAGTTTAGGGAAGCCAGGAATGGGTGTGGCAGAGGTAGCCAAAGAAACTCTTCTCATCCAAGGGCTTGGTGGCCTCTGGGGACATTAGCGAGGACCTGGCCTTTCCTCCAGAAAAGGAAAACTCCATTCTCTTTCTTGTTGAGTCAGAGTCTAACTCTGTGACCCAGGCTGACCTGGAATTGGAGGTAAATCTCCTGCTTCAGCCTCCACTACAACCACCACACCCACTGATTGGAAGTTCCACTCTTAGGCTGTTGCTGACAGTTGAGCAGGCAGTAAGATGTCACCTGTGTCACCCAACCTAACCAGTACACCTGTTAGATAGGAGAGGAGCTCAGAAACTCAGAGGGCACATCCTTATTGGAGGCTGGAGTCAGCTCACGCTCATCATGTCCCATTTACCAAGTGCCCTGGCAGTCCCTGTCCAGAGGCCCCTGGAGGAGGGCAATCACATAGGGATGACTTTGGGGTAGCCTAGGGTTGGGCTGCTTCTGTGTTCTTCCTGGTACTCCCCCTGGTACTCCCATCTCCTTGGCCTGTCACTTAAGGTGTCTTTACCCGGGGCAAATGGGTAGAGTTGGTGACTGACATAAAGAGTGGTGTGCCTGGTTTGTCAGGACAGGGGAAAACCTAGGTGCATAGGGCAGTGGCCTGGCCCTGGCTGGTTCCTTGAGCCTGGGTGTGGCTTGGACTCTAGCCAGGGTGGTTAAACAGCTGCTTGCAGAACGAGACCTGCGTGCCCTGATGCCCTCCTCCATCCAGTCGCTGTACCCAGTGCTCATCTTGGTCTAGTTCTAGATTGGCAAGTCCAGTCCATTGCCTAGAAATGACAACTCTCTAGAACCGGGCTGGGCTGGCCTGCTTTTGATCCTTCATCCTAGCTTGTTTTATGTTCTTTGGTGCCCTCATGAAACATTTCAGGGTTGACACTTTTTCCCTGGGCAGAAACCAAACCTTCTCTTTGATGAGGCCCTGGAACCTCTCTGACAGTCACTAGGCAGGCCTGTGAGATGGCGGCCACTTTGACCCCTTGGCCTGCTGAAGAGAATCCGAGACTGCTGGGGTGGCCCACCCATCTGACAGGTGAAAGATGTGACTTGCCCCCAGTACCCAGAACCATTTAGAGCAGGGCGGGTCCTTTCTGCATGCCAGAGTCATGCCCTTGGTCAGCTGACTTTGTAGTAGGATTTGTGAATACTCCACCTGGAGCAGGGAGGCCTGCAGATTAACCTGTATGTTTTTAAAGAGCCTGTCTGAGGCATTCTTGAAAGTCCCTGAAGGCAGTATGGCACAGTTCCTGGCACACAGTGGGTGCTCAATGAAGACTTGCTGATGAATATTGTTTGATTGGATGGAATGAAGTGAATTCTTTTCTGTTGTCTCCCCTTCCAACCACATCCTTCAACTTTTATGCTTTGTAATCCTTGAACTTCTCCTATGGGAAACCATCTGCATAGCGGGGGGGGGGGTAAGACAGAGAAACTGGAGCTCTGAAGAGCTTTGGAAACTTTCTTTCTCTGTTGCTGTGATGAAACAGTTATAGGGTTTCTATCCCTGTGATGGAACGTGAACAAAAGCAAGTTAAAAGGATTTATTTCAGTTTACAGTTCCACATCACAGTCCATTATCAAAGAAACTCAAGGCAGGAACTGAAGCAGAAGTCATGGAGGAACACTGTTTAATGGTTTGGTCTTTATGGCTTGCACAGCCTGCTTTTCTTATACCACGAAGGGCCACCTGCTCAGTCAGGTATGGAACTGCTCACACTGGGCTGGGCCCTCCTGCATCAATCAGCCATCAAGAAAATGCCTCCACAGACATGCTAACAGGGCAGTCTGGGGGAAGCAATTCCCCAGTTGGGATTCTCTCTCTTCAGATAACTCTAGTTTGTGTCTTGTTGACAAAAGAAAGCTAAACAGCACACTGCCCAACATCACACAATTAAAGGCAGCTGTGGCACTTAAGGATCAGGCACTGTGACCCCCCAAGGCAGTGCTTGCCCTGAGGCCTCCTGCTCAAGAGGTTTCCAGGGGGCTGAGGCTGGAGTTTAGGGGGGGGTACATCCAGGTCTAGGGCCTCATGCTCAATCTCCAGCACCAAAACAAAGATAAAAGGCTAGCTGGGGAGGGAGAACAGGTGCAGCAGAGAAATGGCCCCTTGGATTAGTCTGTGGTAGAGCCATTTACTGCCCAAGAGGTAGTTGTGAGAGGTGTGGCCAGGGAGGTGACAGGAGGCAAACTGGCTGAATGGGAAGTGCAGGGACTATGACCCACAGTCCCTGCGGGTCTGTGGTGAGGATGGTGAGGGTGGCAAGGGCAATCCTCTTGGGGAACTCGGAGAGAATGACTCACACCTGAGGCAGGCAGGTTACAGCTGTGTCCACAGGTGTGCTCCTCGGTGTGCCAAGTTGTAAGAGCAACTGAAGAGGCAGGAGGCAGCTGCGTGGGCCCTGAATTCCCCAGGGCAAGGGTTGCAAGGTATAGCTCTGGGGGCCCCTCTGGTCAAATGGCTCCTCTTTTCTGGGCCAGCACCTGCCCCCTCCCCTCTTGCTCCGTTTGTCTGAGTCCTGGAGCCTTGTGGAAGGGATGGGACAGACAGGGTCCTTGGTGGTGGTTGGAGGTGGCCCATGACAGCCTAGCGACCCTGCCAAGCGCTCTCCTCTGGATCTGGGCATGCCTTCCTCCTTAGGGCAGGCTTGGCTTGCGGGGTATCCGAGGCTAAGTCACTGCTCTGGCAGTAGAAAGCCATCGGTGGGGCGTCTGTCTGCCCGGGAACAGATAGGAGGGTGGAGGGATGGCTCAGGTTTAGGGTTTGTGGGTATCGGGTAGGCAGTTGCGCCAACATCGGAGCTAGGAGTGGGCAGAGGAGTCTGGCGGACCACAGACAGACAGAGCCTGATAGAGCCCTCGATGCTGCGGTCCTCTTTCTTATTGTGGGGTGGTACAAAATCTCCGCCGTCTGCTCTGGTGGGGAGGGTCTATCATTTGAACCCATTCCCTGTGCTCAAAGACAGT